GACCCGCAATGCATTATGGGGGCAGCAATGCATTATGGGATTGGGCGCAATGCATTATGGGATCAGGCGCAATGCATTATGGGAGCCACGATGCATTATGGGTTTTTTCCCGCAATGCATTATGGGAGCCGCAATGCATTATGGGATTGGGCGGGACACTGGATATTTTTTTGTTTTTGTTTTTTTGTTTTGTTTTTGCACGGGGTTGGGGGGGTGGGAGTGCTCGTGAGCGCCTTTACCCAAATTTTTTGAGCTGTTTTAGGCTGGGCAGGGCTGTCGAAAATGCCGCTCCACCCCTGTAATTATTGCTAATGAGCCGCGTTAATCAGCGGCGCCGCGGCCAAAGGCTCCGCCCCTTCCCTCCACCCCCCGTCACCTCCCCTCGCTCCTTTTCTTTCTCCTGTCTCGGTGAGATCCCCCGGGAAGCCCCAAAACCACTGCGTTTTACCCCAAAACTGCCCCGCTCGTCCGAGAGGGGTGGGCATGTCTGGGGAGGGTTCCCGTTTATGGAAGGTCCCCTTTTTGGGAGGAGTCCCCATTTCGGGGGAGGGCTCAAGTTTTTTGGAAAGTCGTGTTTTTGAAAGGTCTCATTTCTGCGGGGAACCCGCATTTTTGGGGAGGGGTCTCGGCCATGGGATGACCAGGTGGGCGAGGGGATGGGGTTTGGGGGGCTGGGACCACCAGGGAAGCACTGGGAGTGGTTGGAATTGTGTAGGGTGGATTTTTAGGGGTCCTGGAGCTGCCTGGGACCCCGAGGATGGGGAGGGGGTTTGGCATTTCAGGGTCCCAAGTGGTGAGGGGGCGTTCTGACATCCCCTGAACACCCCCCCTTCCCCTTTGTTTTGGATCCTACATTTCAGGGGGGGGTTGGGCTGCACTGGGTATTCTGGTGGGGGGTGCGGGTCGTGCCCGGTGTCGTTCCCCCCACCGTGACCCCCCATCCCCACCTCAGGGAGCTCTCTGTGGATTTGTCGCACCCGCTGTCCCCCCCACCATGACCCCCCTGGCCCCCTCCCCAGCTTGGGGGGCTCTGGGGGATCTCTGTGGATTCTGGGGGTGCTCTGTGGGTTTGGGGAGGCTCTAACCTGGTGTCCTTTTCCCCCCCCCGTGACTGCCCCTGACTCCCCTGTCATGTCGTCCCCCCCCTGCCCAGCTTGGGGGGCTCTGGAGGATTTGTGTTTGAGGGGTCTCTGTGGGTTCTGAGGGGGCTCTGTGGGTTCTGGGGGGTTGTGCCCACTGTCCCCCCCGCTGTGACTTCACCATGTGCCCCCCTGACCCCCCCTCCCCAGACTGGGGGGCTCTGGGTGGTGCTGGAGCAGCTCCAGCTCCGGGTGCTGTCAGTGACGGACAAGGGAGTGGCGCTGGACTGGAGGTGACGTTCTGTTCACCGGTGGATCACTCAGTTCTGTTCACTCTGTGGATCTGGGCGATGCTTTGTGGATTCTGGGGGGCTCTAACCCATGGTACTCCCCCCCGTGACCCCCCTGTCCCCCTCCAGGGGGTCCCAACCGCCCCCTGCCCCCCCCAGGCCGGGAATTCTTTGAGGGAATCTTGACCTGGACCAATCTAGGAGGGGCAGAGGCCGTGGCCGATGCCTTCAGGGTGAGACCCTTGGGGGGTTTGGGGGGGCTCAGATCCCCTGGGGGGGTTTTTGGGGCTGTGGGTGGGGTTTGGAGGGAATTTCAGAGGGAATTTGAGGGTTCAGACCTGCAGAGGCTTTGGGGGGATCTTGAGGGAAATTTGGAGGGTTTTGGGGGGAATTTGGGGGGTTATGGG